TGTTGTCCATGCTGATCCTGATGACCTTGGAAAAGGTGCAGTTTTTTCTTTTGATATTTTGATTATTGTTGCTTTTAATTATGTCGATACTAAGAAAGAAAGCATGTGTAATGCCTAAAAATTCAAGATTTATTTTTGAGTTTTTTTTTTAAACCATGTTGGACTGTATCCTTCAGTAGGTTGTACATTCTGGTTTAAGCCCAATATGTTTGGAGAGACAGCATACCAATGTTCTTGTCTAGGAACATAGAAACCTTTAGGAATGTATTGGCTGAATTGTTAGAATGTAGGTCTAATTGAATTGAATCCAATTAGGGATGAAGAAAGCTGTTTCAGTTACCTTGGGATAAGTCAATGACGGCTGCTTTTGATGATGAATTTAGGGAAAGCTGTTTCAGTTACCTTGGGATAAGTCAATGACGGCTGCTTTTGATGATGAATTTAGGTTTTTTCTCTTTAGAATTTATAACATTTATTGCATTAGGATCTCAGCTTGTTGTGTTTAGTACGAATGAATCTCAAAGTGGTGACTCAAAGTTGTTTTATAGTTATTATGTGGTTTTTGTCTAGAAAACATCATTAGCCTACCTATTCATTGATGCGGTGCATCAAGCCATATCCTCTACCGTGAAGACCGTTACTTTGCTTTAGTTATTAATTAGTTGCTTTATTTAAATTAAGTAATTTACTTATTGTTTAATCATTAGAAACCGTTAGAGTGGCTGCTCCACTCTTTCCCTTTTACTTAGTTTAGCATCTGTTTTTCTGCCATGTGCTGGCATTTTGGTTTGCTGCCATTTTTAGCAATGGCTTTTCCTGTATTTCTTCTCTTGGAGAAGAAGAGCAAAGCAGTCGATGATATACAGATTTTGGCCATAGCCATTACCGATCTCTTGCCTTCTTGGTGTTTTTCTTGTGTGAACCTGCTTCTTCCGTGGAATACCACATCATCTTGGTATCAGAGCCAGCGGCTTGGAGAGATGGCAGAGTCCAGCAAGCGTGTGACGAGCGAGGAGAACCGAAGTTTGGAGGCACTTTGGGCTGCACACGCTGGAGTCGAGAAACGATTGGATGACATCGCGGCGGCGGTGGATCGTCTAACAGCGGCATTAAGCCGTGAACCACCCATTGTTCGGACTGGGGAAGGATCGTTCCGTGCGGGACGACCTGCTCCGGCTACTATCACACCAACCGAAGGGCACAGAGGATTGCCGATTCGAATGAGGAGGCGTGCTGCACTGCTTCCGGAGCTTTCAGATTCAGAGGAGGATCACAACAGCTTTGCCCCGGAAGGATTTTCCGATTCCGAAGCAGATTTGGCCGAACGTCGTCCGCGACGTTATGCGGGACGGGATCGACATCAGGGCGAGTTTCGAGTGAAGCTCGACATCCCATTTTTTGATGGCAGATTGCACATTGAGGATTATTTAGATTGGGAGCGGTCGGTAGAAAACTTTTTCGATTATATGGAGATCGAAGTGGAAAAACAGGTCAAATATGTCGCCTGTAGACTCAAAGGGGGAGCTAGCGCATGGTGGTCGCAATTGCTTCAATGCCGACGTAGGGAAGGTCGCGGCCCTGTCCGCAGTTGGATCAGAATGAAGCAACTATTGCGCGGACACTTCCTTCCTACGGATTATGAACAAATGCTATACTTAAAGTATCAGCATTGTAACCAAGGCAGTCGTTCTGTTAGCGAATACACGGAAGAGTTATACAGTCTATCCGCTAGGAACGATTTGAATGAGACCACTAACCAGCTCGTCGCCAGGTACATTGGAGGATTGAAGGAAAATATTCAGGATAAACTAGAACTGAACTCCGTTTGGTCGCTCTCGCAAGCGGTTAATTTCGCTTTGAAAGCAAAAATACAGTTGGGTCGGCATTTGAGAAGTGGTTCGTATCGCAGACAGAGTGTAGACGTCGGACCAGACGTGACGAAGCAGCCGGGAATTGTGTTGCGGAGGACGCCCGTGGCAGCCGATAATAGTGGGTCTACTCCTCCGATTAAGCCGAACTCAGACCCCAAAGCACCTGTGAAGCCAAAATTTCCCTTCAGGGAAAATCCTTATCCGAGACCTCAAGGTCTCAAGTGCTTTCGCTGTTTTCAGCCGGGACACAAATCAAATGAGTGTCCCAATCGGCAGCAGCTACAATTGCTGGAGGGAGAAGGGGAGGAAGACGTCGACGTACCCGAAGAAGACGCCGAGTTTGAAGATGTCATGGGAGATGATGGAGAACCGTTGATTTGTGTTCTAGAAAAATTGTTGTTAGCTCCCCGCAAAGTTGTGCAATCACAACGACATTCAATTTTCAAAACTAAATGTACAATTGGAGGAAAGGTCTGTGATCTTCTTGTTGATAACGGCTGCACCGAAAATGTGGTGTCCAAGGCTGTTGTGCACGCGTTGCAACTTAAGACGACGAAGCACCCTCAACCCTATAAGATTAGTTGGGTTAAGAAAGGTATGGAGATTTCCGTAACGGAGACGTGCCGAGTTCGGTTCTCCATTGGCAAGAACTATATATGCGAAGTATTGTGCGATGTTGTAGAAATGGACGTATGCCATCTGATATTGGGTCGTCCCTGGCAGTTTGATGTGGGCGCTATTTATGATGGTAGAGCCAATACGTATGCCTTGGAATGGAAAGGAAAACGGCTTCGCTTGTTACCTCACGCCAACGCTTCGGAGACTAGAGCTGAATCCGCACGTCCAGCCTTGCATTTAGTTACAGGGAGTGGCTTTATAGCCTTCTGTAAAGAGGATGTTCCTATGTTTGCACTGGTCATTCGGGAGAGTGCACCCGATTGTCCAGCTGAGAGTAATGAGCGGGTCGAGCGCTTACTCTCGGAATTTCAAGATGTGCTGACAAACGCAGTAAACACACTACCTCCTCTCCGTTCTTTGCAACATCATATCGATTTTGTGCCAGGTTCAAACCTTCCAAACCTGCTGCATCATCGCCTGAGTCCAATTGAGCATCAAATACTCCAGGAGCTTGTTGATGATTTGCTGAAAAACCAGTTGATACAACCAAGTCTCAGTCCTTGCGCCGTGCCGGCGCTCTTGGTTCCGAAGAAAGACGGGAGCTGGCGAATGCGTATGGACAACCGCGCCATCAATAAAATTACGGTCAAGTTTCATTTTCCGGTACCGCGAGTAGAGGAGTTGCTGGAACGGCTAGCCGGTGCTACGATTTTCTCCAAATTGGATCTCCGCAGTGGCTATCACCAAATCCGTATTCGGCCCGGAGATGAATGGAAGACGGCATTCAAGACTCGCCATGGTCTTTATGAATGGAGAGTGATGCCTTTCGGCTTGTGCAACGCACCGTCTACTTTTATGAGACTCATGACCGAGGTACTCAAGCCCTTCTTAAACGTCAGCTGCGTAGCTTACTTCGACGATATTCTGGTCTTCAGCTCGTCGCTCGCCGATCACTTAGTGCACTTAATCGAGATTTTCATGGTGCTCCGTCAAAACCAACTGTTCTTGAACCCGAGTAAGTGCGAATTCGCTACTTCTAGCGTTTATTTCCTTGGCTTCTTTATCTCCGCTGCAGGTGTTCATGTTGATAAGCGGAAGGTTGAAGCCATTGTCAACTGGCCAACACCGAAATCCTTTACCGAGATCCGCAGCTTCCACGGACTCGCAAATTTCTACCGTCGATTTATCTACAATTTCAGTTCAGTGATGGCGCCGATCACTGACTGCCTGAAGATGAAGCAGTTCCAATGGGGTGAGGATCAAGCCAACAGTTTCGATCAAATCAAAGTAGCACTGTCCTCTGCTCCGGTTCTCGCATTACCCAATTTCGACAAACCGTTTCACGTTGATACCGATGCTTCAGGCATCGGCATTGGAGCAGTTTTAAGCCAGGAGAATTGGCCTGTTGAGTTTTTCAGCGAGAAGCTATGTCCCTCTCGTCAAAAGTGGAGCGTCTATGAGCAAGAATTGTACGCCGTGGTGCGGGCACTCAAGCAATGGGAACCTTATCTTCTGCATCAAGAGTTTGTTTTGTGCAGCGATCACAGAACTCTTCAATTCATTAACAAACAAAAGCATATCAACCGAATGCACGCCAGATGGATTCTTTTTCTTCAGCGGTTCTTATTCGTGCTGAAACATAAGTCGGGTAAACAAAATGTGGTAGCTGACGCTCTCAGTCGCCGAACCTTGCTCCTGACCCAGCTTCAGACGGAGATTACAGTGCTCGAATGCTTGAAGGAGCTCTATCCGACTGATACCGATTTCAAAAGCATCTGGGAAGGATGCCAATCCGATGCTGCCCATGGAGAGTTCACTCTCAGGCACGGTTTTCTGTTCCGCCGAAATCAACTCTGTATACCCGATTCTTCCTGGAGACCACAACTCATTAAGGATGTGCATTGTGGCGTGTTGGCAGCACACGTAGGAAGAACAAACACTTATTTACCGCTCCAATCCCGTTTTTATTGGCCGCATCTCCATCGGGATGTTATGAGGTTTGTTGAAAGGTGCCCCATTTGCCAGAGCTACAAGACCGGCGGCCAGCTTAGCGGTCTATACCTGCCATTGCCTACACCCGAGACAATCTGGGAAGACTTAAGTCTGGATTTTGTTATGGGGCTGCCGCGTACTAAGCGAGGACATGATTCTATAATGGTGGTAGTTGATAGGTTCTCTAAGATGGCGCATTTTGTGCCATGTAAGAAGACATTTGATGCATTGAATGTGGCGCGAATCTTCTTCGCCGAAATCGTCCGATTACATGGGTTGCCCCGGAGTTTAACTTCCGACCGTGATGTTAAATTCATTAGTCATTTCTGGAAGGAGCTTTAGAAACGGCTGAACACAGATATCAAATTGAGCTCGGCATACCACCCCCAAACGGACGGTCAGACGGAAGTCATAAACAGAACATTGGGTAACATGCTTAGGTGTGTAGTGCAGGAACACCCGAAGCTTTGGGATGAATTATTGGGACAAGCTGAATTTGCTTACAATAGCATGACCAATCGCTCTACTGGCCGGAGTCCGTTCAGCATTGTCTATACCAAAAATCCCAATCATACCGTCGACTTGGCTGTTCTACCGAAATGCCACAGTAAATCAGCCGCTGATTTTACTGTACAGTTTTCTTCCATGCTTGAGGAAGTTCGGGCGAAGCTACTGGATTCAAATGCTAGATACAAGGAGCAGGCGGACAAGTCTAAACGGGAGCGGTCATTCAAGCCGGGAAATTTGGTGATGATTCACGTGAAGCGTGAGCGGTTCCCTCCTGGAACATATTCAAAGTTGAGCCGACGTAAGATCGGGCCTTATGCTGTGCTGAAGCAAATCAATCCGAATGCATATGTTGTCGACTTGCCTAAACACTACAACACTTCGTCCACCTTCAATATCGGAGATCTTGCTGCGTATCACCCGCCCGATATGGCCATTACGAGTATTTCTTCATCCGATTCAGACTCTTCTGTTGATGGGGGAGAATGATGCGGTGCATCAAGCCATATCCTCTACCGTGAAGACCGTTACTTTGCTTTAGTTATTAATTAGTTGCTTTATTTAAATTAAGTAATTTACTTATTGTTTAATCATTAGAAACCGTTAGAGTGGCTGCTCCACTCTTTCCCTTTTACTTAGTTTAGCATCTGTTTTTCTGCCATGTGCTGGCATTTTGGTTTGCTGCCATTTTTAGCAATGGCTTTTCCTATATTTCTTCTCTTGGAGAAGAAGAGCAAAGCAGTCGATGATATACAGATTTTGGCCATAGCCATTACCGATCTCTTGCCTTCTTGGTGTTTTTCTTGTGTGAACCTGCTTCTTCCGTGGAATACCACATCATTCATGTTTTGTTTTGAAAGCACTTACAACGTAACGGTATTTTATGGTAATGTCATCACAATTGCGTCTAGTGATTTTTTATGAGTTGGTTGTTCATAAGTTGTTTTGAACGGACTAAAAGTGTAACAATATATTGTGGTAATGTCATTATGACCGTGTTTGGTTGTTTTTTCATGGGTTGTTTTGAAAGGACAAACAGTGTTAATGCAACATTAATTGTGATAATGTCATTGTAATCACGTTTAGTGGTTTGCTTTGTCTTTACTTGAAACTTGATATTTCCTACCAAGTTAATTTACTTGCATTGCTGCATAACTGTAAGCGCTTCATTTTCTGGAGTTGATGCTCTGATTCCTTGAGTAATTCATGCTTGCTTGGCTTATAATAATTCTATGTGGGATATAGCTGTACATTTAAACCATAAATATGTACATGCTAAAGTATTTCTCGCAACATGGGAGTGAAGAAGAAATCATATAAATGAAGAATCACCTAGAGAACTAAAGAAATATAGTGTTAGTATTGGTGTACTCTACCATGTTAATTCACTTTCATTGCAGCATTTCTGTAAATGTTTCCTTTTCTGCAGTTGATATTTCTGATTCCTTGCATGATTCAGGTTTGAATGGCCATGTTGTTGCACATTGTAACTCACTGATAATACTATAAGGGCGTATAAAATTGATCTATAGGATATATCTATAAATTTAGGTTTTCTTTGTTTGCAAGTATTTAAAATTCAGGGTATTTTAGATACAATGTATTTATAATACTCAGAAGTTATTTGGTTTATCGTCAAATGAATTTAAGAGATCATTTTGATATGTTTGATTGGAAGTGATGAATCTAATAGATTAAAAAAATAAAATAAAATTGATGTAGGGCTACGACACGGCAATGGGGTGTCAGAGGATGATGAGGCTAGGTTTAGCGAGGTGTCGGAGAGGGACAAACGTCTCAATGTTGTTTGTGGTGTTGCCTATGTTGTGAAGAAGCGTGAGATAATAACAAGGTCTAGCGGTATCATGTTGTTTCACGTGGATGTGCGAGATGGATCAAAGTATCACGGTGGATGTGAAGAGGGATGGAGGTTGACGATGTCTCATAGTAGCTCCAAAGATGGAGGTGGGCATGGTCTTTGCATTTGCTTTTCTCACTGTGTTGCAAGGTCTCATTAGCGAAGAGGTGGTTGTGTGATGAAGCAAAGTATTAGAAATTCCCGCCAATTTGGGTGAATTCCGAATGGAGGGAAAATGAACTAAGCAAGGAATTACAAATCCCTAAAAAAGTATTCTAAAATTTTTTCTTTCAACCAAAACATCTAGAATTTCAAAACTCTTGCATTTAGTTTACTCTATGCTCCCAATACTTGCAACCAAACAGGCCATTAATACGTGAAGAAGCTATCCTAAATGATTTGCATCAAGATCGAAGTGACGAAGGCAACATCTTGATGAAAAACTACATTGTAACAAAAAAGAAATATAATGTTAACATTAATGTTTATAAAATTAGTAAATCAAAATTTATAAAATAATAAATGTACTTATAAATCCACTTGACATTTTTATTGAGCTACTAAATGTGGCATTCTAGAATTTGTTTGAAAAAGAAATTGTCTGCCTAGGAATCAAAGTGACATGATATGCACATTTAGTAGCATTTGTTAAGTAGGATAATTTAGAATGTCTTAAGAGCTAGAGTTTCTAATGCAACTAAATGATGTAATGAATGCCAATTTATCGTTAAAGAGTGGAAATTTGCAGTATAAAGATTGTCAGTTAGATAATTAACTCGCTAAATTTTGATGCAATTTAGGAACAAACAAAATTTTGCATAATTGATAATTAAATGTTTTCATAATTAAAAATTTCTCCAAAATTAGAGAAGCTTTAAAGAAAATAAAGTGCGAAAAAGTTGTTGGCCGTGATGATATTCCAATAGGGGTGTGGAAATATTTAGGTGATAAAGGAATTTCTTAGCTTACTAAACTTTTTTATATTATTTTGAAGACTATAATGATGTCAGATGAGTGGAGAATGAGTATGTTGATTCCTATTTTTAAGAATAAAGATTATGCACAAGATTATGCGAATTTTAGAGGAATTAAGTTAATGTGTCATACTTTAAAACTATGAGAGAATTATGGAGCATAGGTTATGATGTGATATTAATGATTCTCAAAATCAGTTTGGATTCATGTTGGATAGGTCTACTATGGAAGCTATACATTTATTGAAAGGTTTGATGGAAAAGTATAGAGAGAATAAGGAGGATCTACATATGATATTTATTAATTTAGAGCAAGAAAAGTGCTATGGAAAGTTCTAGAAAAGAAAGATTAATAATGCTTATATTCAAGTCATTAAGGACATGTATGCAGGAGCTGTTACAAACACAAAGTGGTTACAAACACAAAGTGGTTTGACTAAGTATTTTCTTATTTCTGTTGGATTACATCAAGGATTAGCCTTAAGCTCATATCTTTTTGCTTTAGTCATGGATGTTCTCACTAGACATTTGCAACAGATTGTACTATGGTATATGTTTTTTGTTATTGATATTCTTTTTGTTGATAAGATTAGAGAGGGAGCTGAAGGTAAACTTTAATTATGGAGGTAGACCTTATTTTCTAGAGATTTTCGTTTGAGTAGATCTAAAATCGAAGATATGAAATATAATTTTATTAATAATAGATCTAGTGGGGTTGCCAGGTCCCAAGTCCTGGATGAGAAAAGTGGAGGGTTGCGTTAGGTAGTCGACAACCAGCATAAAATTTATCGAATAATAATGACATGAATCCTTTAAGAAATTATGTTAATGCTAGGGCGTCCCCTGGAAGTGGCGTGTTGTATGGCCTGAATACAATGACAAGTGTGTAAGGCCCGTTGCACAGGTGCCTGGGTGTAGTGTTAATATGCAAGGGTTCCCACATCAAGGACGGATGTGGGCAAAGAAGCTAGTCCATGAAACTAAAATTAGGATATGAACTTGAAATATAGGTTCCCTTACAGGAAAATTAATAGATATTATGATTCATAGGAAGATAAATATTTTGCGCATTCAGGAAACTAAATGGGTTGGAGAAAATGCTAATGAAATTGATAGTTTATGATTTAAACTTTAGTATTCGGGTAGGAGTCGTATTAGAAATGGTGTAGGTGTTATTGTAAATAAGAGTTTGAAGGATAATGTTATAAAAATTAATAGGATTAGAGATAGAATTATAGCTTTAAATTTTGTTGTTGATGATAAGATTGTTAATATTATAAGTGCTTATGCTCCTCAAGTAGGTTTGTATATAAGTTCTAAATTAAATTTTTGGAATGACTTAGAAGAATTATTACAAAAGATACCTTTTGAAGAAAGAGTTTTTATTGGAGGAGATTTAAATTGATATGTTGGTATAGAGGTAGATTTTAAAAGCATTCATGGTGGCCATGGTTTTGGAACGATAAATGAAAGTGACAATACTATATTAGGATTTTGTTTAGCTTATGATTTTTTAATTGCTAATACTTTATTTAAGAAAAGGAATGAGCATCTCATCATTTATAAAAATGGATATAATACAACCCAGATTGACTATTTTCTTATAAGAAAATTAGATTGTTTAGATTGCAAAGATTTTAAAGTTATTCATAGTGAAAATTTATGTACCCAACATCGTTTATTAGTTTTGGACTTTAAGATAAATGGGCAGAAAATAAAAAATAAAGTAAAACGATATTTTATGATTAGATGAGGCATTTAAAGAATATTAACAAAAATATTTTTGAGAGTAATATTTTAAATCTTAAGATTTTATCTGTGCATGAGGATGTTAATATTATGTGGGAAAAAGTGGCTATTGATATTAATAATATTGTAAAAGATTTGCTTGGAGTATCAAAGGAAAAAGCTCATAATAGTAAAAATAGTTGGAGGAATCCAAATGTATAAGAAAAGATTAAAAATAAGAAGACTTGTTATAAAAATTGGTTTAATTTTAAAAA